AAAGACTTGTGTCGTTAAAGTTTCGTCGGAACGAAGTTACGGAAAAATCAATTAACAAACGGAGACGTAACACTATTAAGACATAGATATATGTGTGTTCAATTCAGTATTGATGTAAGTAAACTCAAATTACTAGTGTTTCACAGAATCTATTTATTTAAACAGACTTACAAAAATGGAAATAAGGTTGACTGCGAGATCTTTACCCCGATGGTGACATCACACATCTGACAAATCTTGAAAGGATCCTGGCACTATAAATATACTCTATTGAAATATTGAAGAGTTTGTCCTCAGCAAACTTCACCAATTTTTTAATTGTGCCCTTATCAATGTCATTCATATAAATAAAAAAGGGCTCAAGCACTGATACCTGAGGCATTCCATTAGTTTCGAAAATCCAGTTTGAATGAAATTCATATAACAACCTTTTACTTTCTTCCATACAACCACCCTACTGTTAGTTAGGCGTATCGTTAGTCCCGGAATTTTTGTTCAAATTTTGTTTATGAAGTTATGCCCACCTGTGAACGTAGCCTGAAGCAAATGGTATTGGGGAAATAAAGTAATTCTATATTGTTACGTGGGCTGGTATTCGCATTAGTTTTTACCAACTAATCCAAAATAATTGACCCAACGATAATACACTACGTACAATACTAGTTATTATTATAATCTAATTGACTAACCCTTGCTAACGAAATGTGTGTCGCTACTCATCGAAATTACTCCAGCTATACCAAGTCCATCTGTTTCTATCATCTGTTGTGTAATTTCCCCGAAAGGCCGCCTGGAGGGATCACGTGTTTTAACCACTCCCACCATTATACAGTAGTATGTTGTCTGTCAGTCAGTAGACACTAAAGTGACGTCGCATAAGAGACGCTTAACGTTACAATCTATACTGTCGTAACGTCAGTAAAATGTGCGCATGCCATGAATCACGATAATAATTATGCACTATGTAGGCCTCAACACAGCATGACATTGCTTCAAAAGCAAGAAATAAAAATATTTGTTACTCTTAATTTTGGTTTTATTTATTCTTGAAAAATAAAAATGCATTCGTGGACACTGCGGAAGTACATTTAGTTATTTTAACATCGTGCTTCATTTAATTGTATATAATAATTAAAATATTTAGTTAATCCATACTGGGTCTGTTTTATGATATATTTCACTAAATGATGCAAAGCCTTTTTTATCAGACTATAATTTTTCCATCCGGAAGTAAGCCTAAAATTTCCATGTTAATTCTGATCACCTCTCTTTAAACAAACAAACAAAGAAAGAGTAATATTAGCAACTTTTCATTTCTCAGGCATATACCCACTGTGTATTAACATACTTATAACGAAAGAGAGAGGTTTGCGTATCTAATGTTTGAACTCATTTAAAACTCTGGTGAAAACTTTCTCTTGTGCTGATGCTTTAACTATTTTCAATCTCTCAATTTTACTACTTACCACCAAGTGATTAATATATACAGGATTTATGTCAATTCTAATATCTTCCAGAGAATGTCAAGAGGCAGGGTTATTGCTAATATCTTCTCTTGAATAACAATAATGAAAGAAAAGATAAAAACCATTTAAATGAACAACGATCACATAATTAATTTTTGTTTGTCACAGATTTTGAAGCAATGGACTAGAGCAAAGGCAGGTTATCAACATCAACCCTTGGGCTACTCCTTTATCAACGAATAGTGGGATTAACCGTCACGTTAGAAAATATCCATTGCTGAAAGGGAGAGCTTGTTCAGTAATGGGATTCGAACCCGCAACCCACAAATTGCGAATCAAGTGTCCTTGCCACAAAGGTATGGCAAGCCCAATCACACAGTCTTCAATAAAAATATTGCAATTAGTATATTTTAATTTTCACAAACGCCTTTGGATTTCCTATATTCTTAAACTAAATCTGTTACTTTCCTATAGTTTTGTACATTTTCCGTTCTAGCTAACACTTTAAACTTTGTTAAACTTACGACATTTTTACCGATTTTTTATTTATGCTTCTAGTAAGCCATTTACGTTTAAACTTCCATGTTATTCTTTCCTTATTTTTAGGAACCTGCCTATCTTGCTTTGAAAGCAGTTTATTTAAAAAAATCCAAAATATGTCCCAGTGGTGTAGGAAGGAGTTCCAAAGTGGGGTACTTGGCTAGACATGCAGATAATATAATTTACAGTTGCTATACAAGTCAGATATGTAAAAGTGGGTGTGCTAACGCGGTTCCAACTCCTCTGATTTTTCCCACATAGACAAAGATTTTTTCCATAACATCTTTAAATCTAATAGATGTATCGTTCCGTTAGAGGTAGAGAACTCAAGAGACATCTATTCCTGTTTTTTCTTGTTATTTGAAGATACATATTTTTATACACGTTTGATATACTCCACCAATTTATTTTCCACGCTTTTATCTTAAGTTTATGTTTATTAAATAAAAAAACGTAAGTTTGTAAAAACTTCAGTGTCATCATATGATCAGACAGAATTAGTGAATAAGTTTATTATCAAGAAAGAAGAAAAAAATATTGCATTTTTTCATATTTTTCTTGTTTTAGTCATATATATATATATTGAGTTCATTAAATAATTAATTACAACTTATAAGTAAACCTTTTAGTTTTATGGTAAGCCTACAAGTGTCACATCGTTTTTGTTTTTATTATTTAAAAAAGGCCAAGTAAATATCTATTAAAATACGATTTTTGAATCAACACAAGTGACATACTATCTTTTGTGTAAAATCTGAAAACTACACGGGAAATCTGAAGTATAGAATAATCACTGAAATGAAACTCGTCTCCGTTTGTCTTTGTACCAGTACTGGTAAGGTGTACACATACAGTACAGTGTTACGGACGTTATTTATGTATAATTGGAAATATGTAAGGTTTATGTCAAAAATTAGAGAACCAAAAACACCTCAATCACCCTTCACCAACTCGTCTAGCTTTCAGAAGAATAAATTTAGATTTACCAATTTGGAACCAGAAAATAGTCTTCAGCATCATAATCAAGCAACAAATCGTCACCCCAAAAAAGGAAACTTGACCAGTCCAAATCTTTATGATGCCACAAACTTCATGCAGAAGACTTGCAACAAATCTGTTTCATACTCATTAATGAGTGAAGATTTAGTAAAAAAAAATAATTCAACTCGTGTTTGGTATGTTTTATTAAGAATTTATTATAATATTTTCTCAACTTGTTAGTAGATATATTTATAATATATTGTTTTATATTTTAGGAATTAATAATCCATGGCATCAATAGGATAAAGGCTTCTGATTTTGTGCTCCATTTTTGAATATGAAAAATAGGATGAGAGAACAAAAGCTTAAGATTTTGAAAAGTTCAACAATTTTTTTTTAACAGAAGATATTAGCTTATACTGTTATAGAACAAGCAGTATTGGAGGCCTGCAGTCAGGCTGCACCTTATAATAGTTTAAAAGAGAGAAGAAATAAGATTAAAAAATAAATAGTGGGCTTAAGATTTTACCTTTTCTCAATAGTGAGTTTACAAGAATATCTTTGAAGAACCTATTAGTTCCTTGTTGTCAATATTTTAAACTAGATTTCTTCTGAGCCTACGATTTTACAGAGTAAAACCTTTTAAAGATGTCTTTATATAAACCATTTCAGAATTCTTACAGATGAATGTTTTTTTATTATATCTTTATCTAAACCTTTAGTATCTTCATTGTAATGTTTAAAATATAAATGCTTCAAAAATCTAAGCAACTTGTTGCATTGTTTTCTGTAACTCTGCATGTGTGAAGGAGAATACTATATCAGTCTATTTACACACATAATGAGAAAAAAAGTTATATAAATAAATTTTGTATAGAATGTAATGCTGAAAAAATAAATGCAAATTATCGAAACGGGATATGTTATTAAATTTTACTGACTTTAATTTAACTTGGTATAAAATATATACTTTGTCTCAGATGGTTGATCAAATGAAGTTCGAGCTTAAAACTTGGTTTTTCAAGAATACATGTAGTTGTATAACATCTTAGATATTTTCAAAAAGCAGAATACAATTGAAGGATATTTGATGTAACAAAATAAGAACACAATTTAAAGATATTAGAAGTAACAAAATTAAAATATAATTCAGGATATTAGGTATAACAAAATGAGAATACAATGTAAGGATATTAGAAGTAGCAAAATGAGAATACAATGTAAGGATATTAGATGTAACAAAAGAAGAGTATATTATGGAAATAATAAATATGAGCAGTTGGTAACTTTCCATTCATTTCAGTATGTGAACTTTTTAAAACTTATAACTTAAGATGAAATGTTAGTGTTACAGTTTGTGCTGGTAAAACAAAACCATGAATAAAATAAAATTGAAACATTCAGTATAGTTTTTAAATTATAAATTTAAATTTTAAGTTATTAATATTTATATAACTTAAACAAGGTTTTACTGTGTTGCAGTAGAACAAGACCTTCATTCTATTAAAATCTGGATCAGATTCGACGTTACTTATCATAACTTACATTAGTCTTGTATGTATAATCAGAATTACTGCATTTTTGTTCTTGGTTTTTTCATCTGTATATTGCCAGAATGTTAAGACCCAAAGAACATTTCTGTTAGTGCAGTATCTATTGAACCTAAAATTTTAAAATAATTTTGCTTAATTCAAAACCCTAAAAGATTGTTACTTGAAAATTTATCTAAATATAGGAGAGATGACATGGACAAATTTGAAGTGAAAGGGGAGATTCTGTATGGACTTCATCCTGTCAGCCTAGCTTTGAAAGAAAAAAGACGACACATTTTTAAATTGTTTGTAAAACAGATCAATAACCCAGAAATTATTCATAAAGAGCCAGCTTTCAATCACATTTTAGAATTAGCTCTTGCTGTTGATGTTCCTGTCCAAAAAGTGTCAAGAAGTGTCTTAGATATCCTGTCAAAAAGACACGTTCATCAGGTAAATTATACACATAGTATGTAAATATGTTAAAAAATAATTATTATTAGCACTAATGGCAAACATATGTCAGTTTGATATGTATATAAAACTAAACTAAACAACATAATTTTGTACAAAATAAAGTCAGTAATTTACAATGAAATGTATGATATCTGTTATTATTCTGAAATCAATGAGTAAAAAGACTAAACATTTTAATTCAGTATTTTCAAATGAGGCTTTTCAGTTCTCTTTAAATACAGGTTAATATAATTAAATATTTGATTCTTTTTCATAATCTGAAGTGAAGAAAATACATTAATATATTGTATCTACTATGTAGTAAAAGAAATCATAATGTTGAAAGTTCAAATATTCTACAAGTTGCTGTGAATTATTGTAATTATCAGAACATCTACCCTTTTAATAAAAAGTAATCCCTCAAACAAGTGTGTTAATATTTAACAACCCAGGAAAACCTAACTGGCTATAATTACGGTGTTTACAAGATGAATCTGCTTGAAACTTTTTTAATTCTAGCATTTATGAATTTATATACTTTAATTGAGATGAAATGTTAATGTGCTTAAAGTTGATAACAAAGAAGGAGCTTCACACTTCCTTCTCCTTCTTGAAACAATATATTATTTGTATATATGTAGTAGGAAGACAAATGAACTTGACTTTTTATTTCTTTCTCGTCCCTAAAGGGAGTGTGTTTAGATGTTAGTAAACTGAAACTGAAGAACGAGCAAGAAGTTTTTCTTAGCTTGTAAGTACAGTTTGTATATATATATATAGTATCACTTAACTTCTACATTATGTAGTAATACCATTCACTCTTTATGTACTGTATCAGTATACAAGTAGCATTCAGCATGTAAGTATTATAACTAAGTAATTTATGTATGCAATTATTGTTTTGTTTAATTGTTGACTGATAAATAATCAAATAAGTGTAAAATAATGTTTCATGTTTGATAATTAGCATAAATGAGATTAAATATTGCAATGTTTTTCAACATGTATTTCATAAGTCTGATAGCATTATTCAGCTTTAAGGGGCTGTATTGTAAACACTAACGTACATATAGTATGTTAGTGTTATTAAACTTTAAGGGACTGTATTATAAATACTAACGTACATATATTATAAACACTAAGGTACATATAGTATGTTAGTGTTATTTAGATTTCAGGGACTGTATTATAAACACTAAGGAACATATAGTATGTTTGTGTTATTCAGTTTTCAGGGACTATTATAAACACTAAGGTACATATAGTATGTTGGTATTATTCAGTTTTAAGGGACTATATTATAAACACTAAGGTATATAGTATGTTAGTGTTATTCAGCTTTCAGGGACTATTATAAACACTAAGGTACATATAGTATGTTGGAATTATTTAGTTTTAAGGGACCATATTATAAACACTAAAGTACATATAGTATGGTAGTGTTATTCAACTTTAAGGGACAGTATTATAAGCACTAAGGTACATATATTATGTTAGTGTTATTCAGCTTCAAGGGATTATGTTATAAACACTAAGGTATGTACAGTATGTTAGTGTTATTCAGCTTTAAGGGATTATATTATTATAAACTCTAAAGTTTGTGTCATCACCAATAGATGTAAAACAGTACACCTTTTTAATGATATTCTTAATATCATCTGTTTAACTTTCTTTAGCAAATAAAAAACTCAATTTTTTACATTGTATATATATATATTCAGCATTATTGATTTGGATGGCCATCATAGCTTTAACACTGCCTTGGTTAGTTTGGTATGCTGAACTTAAAATTTATTTATTGTATTTATTGGTTTAAATAAAAGTTTAATTAGTTTACTATAAGCTTAACTTTAGAGATTCAGTTATACTTGCAAATTGTCACATTTTTGTGCTTCATACATTCAAAATGACTTTCTTTAGGTTGGAATATTTAATTGTTTTAAATTTGATAGAAAATATATTATCAAACTTAAGAATTATTGTACTATTATGAACAATTATAACAAGTACGTATTGCCTTTTTTAGCTTATCTTGTCTATTATTGTACAGTAATGTAATTATGAACAATTATAACAAGTACATATTGCCTTTTTTAGCTTATCTTGTCTATTATTGTACAGTAATTAATTATGAACAATTATAACAAGTACGTATTGCCTTTTTTAGCTTATCTTGTCTATTATTGTACATTTTTATGAACAATTATAACAGATGCATATTGCCCTTTTTTATATACCATTTGTAAAGATCTGTAGTAACTGAAGAAAATATGTTTTTGCTTTTTGTAAAATCTGTTCTTGAATTTGTATTTTAATGATGAAATTTTGTGAATTTCCAGAAAAGACAAAAAATATTTCTCAAACAAACAACATCCAGTGTGGTTGGTATTGGATCAAATACAAGCAAGTGGACATAATTGTTTTATTAATGTTATAAATTGAGCAGAAAGAGCTATACATCTATAAAATTAAACCTTTAAATATTATTATTATGCAACCATATGTTATTTTGTTTAAAAATAGCTGTACTTATATTGATAAGAATGAATGAATTTGTTCTACAATCATGGTTGGAATATTGATTTTGTGAACAAACTATCATGATTTTCACATTTTGTTATTCCATTCTAAGGTTATTGACTAGTTTTTCATTCAAAAACTGTACTTTGTTTATTATATATTACTGATAACATCATGGTATTTTTGTTTTGTTGTTATAGTTTGGCAGATATAGATATACCATTTTACACTAATTTTTCTGTTTGGATTGTTTCCATTTTCAGTACTCTTACGATTAAGAGTATTGAAAATTGTACAATAATTTATCTAGCTTGGATTAGGTATATTTGCCATTTTCAGTACTGTTACACTTCTATGGATATACCTTTTTTACAGTAATTTGTCTGGATTAGCTTAGTTATACTTTCCATTTTCAAAACTGTTATAGTTGTATAGACATGTCCTTTTTACAATAATTTGTCTGGATTAGCTTAGTTACACTTTCCACTTTCAAAACTGTTATTGTTGTGTAAATATGTCTTTTTTTTTTTTACAGTAATTTGTCTGGCATAGATTAGATACACTTTCCATTTCATTATTGTTATAGTTCTATAGACATACTTTTTTAGAGTATTTGTTTGACATAGATTAATTACAAATTAAACCTCTCAAGACTGACCTGGTAAAAGCATTTGAGTTTGATGTTTTTTTTCCTTTTCTTTTGTAGATTTACAAGATCAAAGTAAGATGGTTAAGCTTACACGAGGACACACTGGTTGTTGTTTAGAGTAATAATAAATGACAGATGTCATAATGAAAAATCTATTTTTAACTCAATACATTGGTAAAATCTTTAATTAAAATACAGATGTGTCAATAAAAAATATTAAACCCTCCGTTGATGTTGTAATGAAATGGCCATTATAATGAAAAGAGTGAAAGCTGGGCAATGTAACTGTACACTTGTTATATATGGACTACTGTGGTTTATGAAAGCCAACTTTGTAAACAATGCTCTCTAGATTTATAAACATAATTTGTTTTTCCTTGGAATACAAACTAATTTTTGATGGTTTTACTATCTTAGGATCCAATGAACTTTGGTGCAGTTTTGAGATCGGCATATTACTTTGGAATTGATTGTTTACTAGTTGTAAGAGATAATAGGTATGTTTTGCTTTGAAATTGACCATATACTAGTTTTGGAATAGATTGTGTATTAGTGAAAGATAATAAGTATGTTTTATTTTGGAATAGATTGTGTATTAGTGAAAGATAATAAGTATGTTTTATTTTGGAATAGATTGTGTATTAGTGAAAGATAATAAGTATGTTTTATTTTGGAATAGATTGTGTATTAGTGAAAGATAATAAGTATGTTTTATTTTGGAATAGATCACTTACTAGTTACTAAAGATAATAGGCATGTTTTACTCTGGAATTGATTGTGTACTCATTGTGGAAGTAAGAAACATGAATTTTTCTTATACTAGATAACATGTAATGTATAAAATATCAGCAAGAATTAATGTTTGTTAATAATACTTGAGAAAGTACAAAATAGATATTTGTTTCATAGTAATCTGTTTAATATTTTATAACAACAAGTGATGACTACATTTTGTTGAATGTTAACTAAGTGTAAAATGTTTATTGCGTTGGACTTGAAAGTGTATTTAGACAATTTCTACATTTGGTAGTATGTTTTTATCAGTAAGCTAAAGTATTAATGGAACAATCAGTACAAATATGTTTTTGTGGAGTTTGTTTATTCTTCAGTTGTAGACTGTCACCTGTCGTTAGTAAAGCCAGTGCTGGCTCCTTAGAAGTTTTAGATCTCTACCAAGTAAATAGCCTACCAGCTTTTTTACGGGTTAGTAAAATTGCTACAATAATCAAGAAAAGTTAATTAATGTTGTTATTCTTTAAAGTATTTTACTATTACATTATCTTAGTTAAATTTTTTACATTTTGTCAAGTTAAATCTTTCTTTAGTTATCCAACATGTCATATTATTATTATTATTACCATGTGATTTCATTTTAACAAATTTTCCTTGTTAATTAAAATATGTTCCATACATGCCTAACCTTATGTAAATGTACCAGGTGTTTCAATGCTGTTTGATTTTTTTTTTTACATTATAGCACTTGGCCATTGATAAAGGCAACAAAATCAAAATTTTGGAGTTAATAAAAACCTTATAACCCGAGCACTTTCGAAAGGTGGACCTTTCTTCTTCAGGGACAAACTGAAGAAGAAAGGTCCACCTTCAAAAGCACTCGGGTTAGTGGATTTTTATTCATTTTTATCAATACTTCTTGAACCTACGTGTTTTTCTAACATCATAAATTTTGGAGTTTTAGTGAATACAGCTGTCTGTATTTTGTTACATTTTTATGTTGATTAAATCCTCTTATTCTGAAGTTTAACTCTTCTCCTCTGTTTTCCACTTGTATGATCTGTAACATAAAATTGTTTATTTATAATGTGTTCTTTGTTTAGGTTTATTTTATCTTTTTTTATTGCTTTACATTTTGTAATGACATCAAGATGATGAAACAAGAAGGTTGGAATATTGTTGGAACTAGAGGTTATAGTGAAAAGAAGAGTTATGCTGAAGATATCCCACTGGTTTCTGTAGAAGATTTCATACTGGCTAAACCAACTGTGATAATAATTGGTAAGTTAGTTTCCACATTGTTAATAAAAGAAAATTTCTGTCAGATATTTTAAAGTGAGATTTTTGCTAATATGTTACAAATTATTCTTTGTAGCATTTGCTGACACTGAGGCATCTTGTTGGATGACACTGATGTATAGGTTCAGTAATACACTAGAATACTTTAAAAGACATCAGTCAGTTGGTTCAGTAATACACTAGAATACTTTAAAGACATCAGTCAATTGGTTCAATAATACACTAAAGTACTTTAAAGACATCAGTCAATTGGTTCAATAATACACTAAAGTACTTTAAAGGACATTAGTCTGCTGGTTCAGTAATACCTTAAGAGTATCTTAAAGGATGTTAATCAGTAGGTTCAGTAATAAACTAGAGTACTTTGAAGTAGTGTTGAGTATTTTTGTAGTTTCAGTGACAAAACAAGGATGTCTTCCCTGAAGGATATCTATCTGTAATTGCAATGATAAATTAGGACATTTTGTCTGGAGGATACTAATCTGTTTGTTCAGTGATACACTATGTCATATTGTGTGGAGGATACTAATTTGGTTGTTCAGTGATGGCGAACTTATGGTACGTGTGCCTAAGGTGGTGAGCGAGAAAATGTTCTTGGCACACGGAATTCACTGCTGTCCCAAGTTTTTTTACCTGACCAATATATATATCTGAAGGCGTAGAGATTGTATATGTCTATAATTAATTAATTATATATAGAATATTTATAATATATAAAATTAATAATAATAACAGTAATTTTGCTGCTCAAAATTTCTATGGGACACATAAACATTTTTCTGAAAATTATCGACAATTTGGGCACACGCTCTCATAAAGGTTTGCCAGCCCTGCACTAGGTCATATTGTGTGGAGAATAGTAATCTGTTTATTCAGTGATACACTAGATCATGTGTGTAGGATAATAATCTGTTTGTTCAGTGATACACTAGATCATGTTGTGTGGAGGATACTAATCTGTTTGTTCAGTGATACACTAGATCATGTTATGTGGAGGATACTAATCTGTTTGTTCAGTGATACACTAGATCATGTTATGTGGAGAAGAACAAACAGATTAGTAAGTGATACACTAGATCATATTGTATAGAAGATAAGTTTTTAGTCCACCTTATATTCAACTATTCAAGTTCATGCTGTGTCTTGTTCTGTTCCTGGGTTCACTTTTTATTCATTTCAATTACGAAAACAATTGCTGCAGTTTGATAATATCATGGACAAATATATTCCCAGCACTATCTCAACATTAGGAAATGTTTGGATGAGGGCGTGTCTGTGGAGTAAAAGGAACATTTATAAAGCTTTGGAATTGCCAATATGGAAAATTGGATCAATTTGTTTTCTATCTTGGTTTCAACATCTTTTAGAAAAGAATGAACAAGACATTTTGTGGCTTGACTGATTTCTTGACACAAAAGAGATCCTTATATGCATCAAGACAGTATTTGAATGCAGAGACAAGGTGGTCAAACACAACAAAAAATGGTTCAGTTCTGAATTTATCCTTGGGTGATAGTATGATATCCTCTGCATCTCCATCATCATGGTGACGGTTGTGCACCTGAACACACTTCTGAACTGAACTATACTCACTATGATCACGTAGTTCAGCACCTCGGTCTTCTAATTCATCAAACCTTGTTCTCTGATCTTCATCTTTTTTAGTTATTTAAAGTTAGATTAAATATAATAAATAATAATATATATTTTTCACAAAGTATGTTTGCAAGTAGCTCATGTGTAGTGTAATTTGAGAGCGTAACATGAGCTGTACATTTACAAGTAATTTATGACTTGTAATGACCCAAATAGTGGTTAGACAGGGTTCAAAGGGCATTAAAACAATAAAATTTAAGTATAGATAGATGTATACTGTTACGAGTTTAGAACTATTCAGGATAAACAAATATAGTTTCATGTAACAATTTAAAATCATTCTAGAAGAAAAAAAGGGGTAACTTCGATTTTTTTTGTTTTGTGGTTATGTGGTTGGTCAAATTGACCAGCCCTGTGTAGAGTTAGGGTATAGGGAATATAAGATATGAAATTTTACTTATAAAAAAATGTTGGAAATTTATTTAGGAGGTCTTAAAGATTATACAAATGAAATTTGAGACTTTTGAGAGAAAGAAAATAATTTTTAATCTTAACATAAATATTACTTTGCACTCAGACTAGTAAAAATATGTATATATACATATATTTACATGACCAAATCTTTTGTAAAAATACTTCATTAAAAACTGATTTTTTGTAATGTTTACTAAAATGTCTGCCAAATTTTGTTAGGATACACATACTGTATTAAAAGATATAATAATATAACTATATACCAGTACAAAATGTTCATGTGATTAGTCCCTGGGATCAAGCCCATATTGAGAGAGTTAACATAATAAGATATTTATAAATTTCTTCTTATTTATAATTTTTTTTTGTTTCTGTATTGGCCCTCTTACACCATGGACCCCTTAGCAGTTGCCCAAACCACCCAAGCCTTAATCCATCACTGATACTGAAAGTTTGAATATTGGACAAAGTGGTGGAATTCTTATTAATGAAAGTATTTACTTTGAATACATGGGCATTTATAGTGATGTGATTTGTAGAGTGTACATGACTGACAAGTGTTCTTAAGTTGGGGAAGGTCCATTCATGGTTTGTCATAAGTTCTGCTCGGTTAAGAAACACTTGTACGTTGGAATTATTCCTGTGAATAAAGGATGATGCTGAATTACCTGGAAGTAGGCACGTATTGCATTCATCAGGGATATATTGGATCATCCACTAGAGGACTCTGCAGTGAAATAAAAGAACATTATAATGCTAAAATCTACAACACCAGCAGTATGACCAATCCCTGTCTAGACAGATTTGATATTGTGACAGTAAAATCGTTTTAGCTACATGTTAAATTCACTCATTGTTGAAACAAGATGATTATTCATTTCTAGATTTAGAACAATTTCATTTTGTTGTTGTTTTTGAGGTTATTGGAAATACAGTGTTGAGTGATATAATAGCCTGTTGTTATTCCTGATAAATTGTTTGTAAGTTTTAATAAAGACAACTGTTATTCCATATAATGTCAAATTGAAAATATTTATATTTATTAATCATATTTGAGATACATTTTTTTAGTTTTCTTCTGATTTTTTAAAGGTAGTGAAGGCAGGGGAGTATCATCTGATGTGCATGATCTTTGTGATACATTTCTAACTGTTTCACCTGGTCGGTTACTTCACACAGACATTGAGTCTTTAAATGTATCTGTTGCAACAGGTAGGTTTGGTTCAATAGCAGTGATGATTCCTGATAAATGTGAGATAAATTTTCAATGAACCAGTATTTTTACATCTTGCCTATAATTAGTTGAAACCTATATAAAAAATAAATTATGAACTGCCAAATAGTGGTGTCATTTTGAATTTAGGATTTATTTATTAACTCCCATAGCACTTTTAGCTGGAGTAAATATACAATACTTTAAGCCTAATATGACCAAAACCACCCAATATGTTTTTGACATTAATTTTCTTCCTTCTTGATGCATAAAGTGAAAATTATAGTTAGAAAAAAATAGTTATTGTCGTGGAGTAAAGCACTAAAACTTTTTAGTGTGTTTTTTATAGTAAGAGGGGTGGAAATTATCACATAACAATAAATGTCAATTTTATAAAAATCACCAACATAACACAATAATTATTTGTAAGTAGTGAAATTTAACATATTTTAAAGAATACATATGTATATATATATCATTATATAAATTATTTCTTTATTAATGTTGTTTGTGTGTATTAAACTTAATAGTGTCTATCTGAATGTTTACTTAATGTGGATTATTATCTAAAGCTATTTACTTTGTTTCAGGTATCATACTTCATAGGCTACTACAAATGCACAACAGTTAGCAAAAAGTATGAAAGATTAGTACAAAAAATTACTTTGTCTTGAAATTCTGTTATAGAAATGTACTTTCTCTTGAGATGTTAAAAAACACTTTCAATTGAAATAGTTTTTATTAAAATACAGCTTTTGTAAAATAAAACCATCCCTTCTATTATATACATTGTAGAAAAACACTTTAAATTGAAATAATGTTTATTAAAATACAGCTTTTGTAAAAATAAAACCTTCCCTTCTATTATATACATTGTAGAAAAACACTTTAAATTGAATTGGAATAATTTTTATTAAAATACAGCCTTTTGTAAAATAAAACCTTCCCTTCTATTATATACATTGTAGAAAAACACTTTAAATTGAATTGGAATAATTTTTATTAAAATACAGCTTTTGTAAAATAAAACCTTCCCTTCTATTATATACATTGTAGAAAAACACTTTAAATTGAATTGAAATAGTTTTTATTAAAATACAGCCTTTGTAAAATAAAACCTTCCCTTCTATTATATACATTGTAGAAAAACACTTTAAATTGAATTGGAATAATTTTTATTAAAATACAGCTTTTGTAAAAAAAACCATCCCTTCTATTATATACATTGTAGAAAAACACTTTAAATTGAATTGGAATAATTTTTATTAAAATATAGCCTTTGTAAAATAAAACCTTCCCTTCTGTTGCAGTTATTGTAGAAAATCATTTTATCTTGAAAACTTTCTCATGATATATTTATCATTTGTAAAAATGACATATTTTTGAAATCTGATAATTTGAACAAAGGATAAATAGCACTATATCAGTTGAGATATTAAAACGTCATTCTTATTTCTGTTGTACGTGCAGTTAAAAATTGCTACAAATTACGACACTGAACTTAGTTGTTATCCAGAGACTAAAGCTTGCTATTTGCAATAAAATCAATTTTGATAAAAGGTTTAGTAAGAATTCTGTGCTTGTTTGTTTTACAAAATTCATCGTCTTAGTTTTTATTATTGGGTAAATCTTAAAGATGCTGTTACTGTAAGTGGTTGTATGTACTGAGAACATACAGCGTACGTTGATTACATCATTCGTGCTCGACAATGGGCTTCACACACTACTCATCCCTGTAGTACCAATATTGACCTTTTGGTGACGTAACGTTTTCCTAACCGCCATGATCTTGAGGGTATTCTCGAGAAGACTCAATTTTCTTGAAATAGCAACACAACACCTAAAGTAAATGAATAATTGTGTAATTTCCAGTTTGATATTTTATACATCACTGTGTCTGGAAGGGAGTTACTATATTTACATATACAGTGTTCAAAATGTTATACGAACAATAACAACTATGATTATAATTCGATGACGAGGAACCCACTTTGAGACTAATAATGGCTGGAGACGGCTTGAATGGGTAATGAAGAAAA